GGGGTGTACAAGCGGGGTACTCTTCCCTGTCCAGGGCCCGTGGTGATTCGTCCGTGGTACCTGCAGTGGGGGAAGAGAGAAAGGGAGGGGCACGTATAAGGTCATATGAGAAACGGGCAAGCAGATACATTCGAGTTTCAAATGCGTTACATATGCTCCATCTGAAATTCCCGCCAGAAATATGATTGCCTCAGTAAGCAATGGAAATGGGTGACCTTCAAAAACATGAATGTAGATAGGAATGTTTTTCGATTTTAGAATGTACGCAACAAACCGTAACATTTTCTCGTGAAAAGTTTTATTCCACTCGCAAAGGTTTTCGGCTAGGTGCATCGTGCAGCCGGGGAGCCCCGTGCTATGCCTTCAGAAGTGGCTTCATACTCGTTTGTCGAGAAATTGAGGACTGCATCCTTTTCATCCTTCACAGCGCTTGAGAAGGCATTAAACTGATACATGTAGGGTAACCATGTGGTATTTGTGCGTTTCTCAAAACGCACCGACTCAGTTTTGCGTTACGAATGGATGCACCAATGGGTAAGCGGCCTGCAGGACATATGTTCCATGGTGCTAACCGCATGTTCGTCCACTACGTCAGCTAGGTTCGCTCAGCTGTCCTGTATAATCGACGTCATGTTATTTTCGAAGTATTTAGCAAGATATAATGAAATACTTTGCTGTTTAACAACAAAATTTTGTGATTCATCCAGCAATGATTAATGTGGCTACCGCTACTTTAACTCGTAATAACGATTATCAAACAATATTACTTACAGGAGCGGCACGGACGCATATTTTGCATCCAGACGGACCACGTAGTTCATAAAATGTTCAAAGAATTGTATCAGCTGCAAAGCTATGCGCAGCTTTCGTCTATCGTACGCGATTCGCCCTTTTCCGCAATTCGTTATGCCTGGTTACACTAGGCAACGTATTCACAGTCAGTGGTGCTCGATGACCCTGAAGATTACCCATGCAGCTAATGCGCATAATAGCTCATTAAATATAGGCATTCTACATGATGAAGTGGTGACCCTAAGATTGTCGTAGATTTATAAAATCAATTCCATTGTACGAATACTGAGCGGCACCTGGTACCGAGCCTACGTTCAATGCAAGCAGCCCGGACTCCATAACAGCCCCTTGCTGAGCACCATCCATTGCTCATCCCAAATTCGGAGAAGCGCCGTTGACCTGGTCGCAAACCCGTTGTCCATCAAAAAATTCTAAGACACTGAGCGGTGATCCGCAATTTCCGGCGTGCGTAGCCTCTGTTCTGATGAAGGCAGATACAGCTATGCTCGTCGGTGAAGGCCACGGACATCGCGGAGCATCTTCAGGCAGACGAGAGGCCAGCAACAAGCAAAAGTCAGCATTGCTTTCTTTGATTTCCTGAATTTAAAGGCTAGGTTAAGAACCTCCGGCAATGGACGATGTACTCGTGCTATCGGGGGGGGGGGGGTGGCGGGGATACGAACGCACCATGGTGCGACGTAACACTGCGACGCTCCCTGCATGGCGTGCCCGTCCGCCACGTGAGGTTTTATTCCCTCGTGCGTGCTACCAGATATGTGAGGGGGAAAACCATCCATGCAGTTATAAATGCGGTTTGTGCAATAATAAATACTCTAGCCACCATTTCTTCGGCCGGGGGCAGCGAGGCCAGTGAAGACGGCTCAGTCAATTCAAAGGGGCAAACAGCATGTCTACGCCGGCAAGGGCAGGTCGTGATAGAGAAGTGAAATGACTAATGCAGATGAGACAGTGAGAATGGAATGGCGATATTCACGGCGGGTGTACTGTGACCAAACGGCGCCGGCGCGTTGGTTTGAGTAACCATGTCAAGCAGAAGCGTACAGCGATGTTGTGTGCTTAAGTGTTTAGCGGACCGTGGGACAAATCATTAGGTACATATACATAGGCGTAAAATGAGCCTATGGTTTGGTTTATGTCAGTTAGAGTCAGGCTGAGAGTACCGGTCACTAGACAGAGCTGATGGAGTAATCTGGATTAGGAGCCTGACTAGAACGGGGCATAAGCTGGTTCGGATAAAAAGAAAAAAACCAGCCGCGTAACACAACATATTTGGATTAAGTAGGCGTTTAGGTCCTAATTAGCTTGAAGCAAGTCAAGAGAATAGGAAGAAATGCAAACGGGATCTTTTACTTACTCACTAACTGCATTGTCACTAAAGTTTCGCAGGTGCTCGGGAAGGCTGTTCCAGATAGGAGCGTAGTAAACTAGAAAGAAGTAGTGGCGTACGAGCTTGTACGAACTGGAGGGCACACTAAGGGGTTGCAGGAGCTACAGAGTCTCTAGCGAGGTCGTGAGTTTACGTTTGGTCTAGACTCTGCTATAAAGGTGTCTGCGCAGCAGATGGTTTAAGAAACATTCATATTTAACCGTGTGATTCAGTGTTTTGAGTCCTGGGATTCGACACCGGGAGCAGTAATAGAGGAGGCTGGATCAAGGGAACAGCTTTTTCGTGAATGAGCGTTGGACACTTTTAATTGCGAGATCGCAACTTGGGTGTAAAGGGAGGAGAATGCGAGACAGAATTCCACAACTGGTCTTACGGATCGCTTGAAAATTATAACCATCGTGTCTAGGTGACAGGAGCGCGGTAGTAAAAAACTGAGCCCGCGTGCCTCGGCAACTTCAAAATGCACCTGGTGGGAAAGGCTAAAAGCACAGGAGTATCCGAGGCCGAGATCTTTGATCTCCGTGGAATGAGTGACGGGATTTCCATTAATTGCGAAAGCGTCAGCCGGAAGGAGCGGAGGAAGGAAGTTATGCAGGATTTTGTGGAGGAGA